GGCCGCCACCCAGGAGGGTGTCCGGTGGGCGCCACGGACAAGCCAGTCTCTGGCCATGCGTGGGGAAACCCATTTTACTTCCAGGCAGGGGGCTGGGGCTCACCCTAGGTAGGATTTTGGGCTGTACCCCCCAAAGCCCCTCAGCCCCCGCTGCTGTGCCTTGCTGGTGGCAGGATGGAGCAGGGGGGGAGGGAGCTGCAGGGGCTTTGCAGCGCTCCCAGCCGGGGTTTAATTTCTATTAATAAGGCTAATCGGCTAAAGCCCTGGCCGTTGCTCACACTCCCTCCCTCACCACCTCTCCCTTTGGCCCCCGATGGTAGGGCCAGGCTGGTGGGGCACACACAGGCCCCCAGGGGAGCGTTTGCCCCCCACACCGAGCCGCCCCAGGGGACCCCTGGGCAAGGAGAAGATGGCCACTGGGCCTTGTCCTCCCGAGCAAGGCCTGCCTGCACATGGCAGCTGGGAAGTGGGGCTTGCTGCCCTCCAGTGGCAGGGCAGCTGGGGGGCCAGGGGGTGGCTGGCGGTGGGTCGTGCAGCCCTCCTCGTGCCCTCCGTGACCCCCCTGGCCCCCATGTCCACCCCAGCCCCCTGGGCTGGCATTTGCCCTAGCCAGAGCCATGGCACTGCGGCATTCAACACCCCAACCACGGGCAGCCATCATGGCCCCGGTGCTGGCGGGGACCCCACGTCCTCCTCCCCCTGCATCCTCTGACCAAAGTGATGTCCCAGCTGTAGGGATGCCTATGGAAAGATCATTCTCCATTTTATTTAAAAAAAACCAAACCAAATCTTTTCCGCAGGACAACAGGTGAAGGAGCAGGGTGGCAGTGCTGGGCACTGTCACCTGCCCCCACTGCCCCCACCTTGCCCCGGGGCTGCCCAGCAAGAGAAGAGGCTGCGCCGGGGCAAAAAGGGGCAGACGCTGCTACAGATGGACACGGTTGCCAAAGGGGCCGAGAGCAGAGAACTGCACACTGCAGACCCTGGCAGCCAGACCATGTGGCTGGAAGCTGCCTTGTGGCCTCCTGCCTTTGCAGTTCATTCTTCTGGTAGCAAAGGGACTGTTTGGCGAGTGTCCTTCTCTGCCCACAGCAGGGCTAGCAAAGCTTCGCCTTCCTCGTCCTGCTAGCACTGCCCCACGCTGCAGATGATCTTACCCATCCGTCCCTCTGTCTCCCAGACCAGCAGCATCCCCTCCCCCAGGCCACCAGCACCAGTAACACCAGACGTCTCCCACTCAAGTACAGTAACATCACACGGGAAGGGGGGACGGGGGACAATCCAAAAAGAGCAGCAGGGATCTGCTGCTGGCTAAAGCATGCCAGACAGACAGCCAGGCGAGATGGGTCCCCATGACCCGGAGGGAAGGGAGGGGAAAAGAGAGGTTACTCCATGAGTGGTAGCATTAGGTTGCTGCCCAGCTCGCGGTGGGGTGTGGGGGGGTGTCACAGCCCGTCACTTGCATGCCTCCCCCTTCCCTGCTGAAATTCTCTGCCATCCACAGCCTTGCTTCATCGGATGATGGGTGCCGAGCGGTCGTTGGTGACCGTGGGACGCAGCTTGACTGTGGCAAAGGGGTTGGTACCTCTGGAAGGGGAAAGGAAAGAGGCAACTGTCAGGAAATCTGCAAAGACCATGCAGGGGTCCTGCTGACCAAGCAAAAGCTGTTCAGCCCTGCCAGACAGCCACCTCCATGCCAAGGAGGAGAGTGCGGTAAAGCTGGCTGCTGAGTATGTTTTCTCCCTCCTTAACACACCCTGCTGCAGGTTTCCCTGTGGCTCCCCTTGGGCTCTCCTCAAGGCTTCTCACCCTCCCTCTTCCACAGGATGAAGAAGGGACACCAGCAAAAGGCTGTCCCTTGTGGTAGCCCTCTGCACTTGTGGCCCCTGACCCTCCAAGCAAGGAGTCAGGGAGGAGAAAGAGGCCACAGCACCGTGCCAGAAGCATGGAGACACCAGCCCTGCTGCAGGGGGAAGGACAGCAGGGATTTATGGCAAGTTTCATCTCTACAGGCCTGACTCATCAAAGCTAAAAGCTAGGTCCCTTACACCTCAGCCCTTTCCAAGCAGGCAGAGCTGCACGAGTCATGTAGCTCCACACTCAGGCTGCAAGCTGCTATTGCGGCCTTTCCAAGATGGATTAGAAGGAGGATGCGGGTCTGGCCATCTGCTCCAGGGTGCTCAGGTCCTACCTCGTGTTACCAGAGGTAGGAGAGCGCCTTCCAGGTCAGCCAGAATGGCCCACCTCCGTGGGCCCACCTCCTGTCCTGGAAGGTGGGTTGTGCATTGCTTTCCTCCAAATGCTTCCCTGTTCCTCCCATGTTTGATAATCCAAAAGGTTAAATAATAGTATTGCAATAATGTTGTGTCCCCCCCCACCCTGCCTGACGATTCCAAAGCGCAGCTCGGCGCCTCACTCACCGTGGGAAGAGTTCAGGGGGCTGGTCAAATACTCCTGATTTCTGCAGTGAAGAGAAAGGCAGCAGTGAGCGATCCGGGGAGGGGAGGGGAACAGTGAGACAAAAGTGGGGCAGGAAACACCGCACGCATGGAGGAAGATTTCACAAAACACTTCAGTGCATTAGGAGCCCAAGTCCTATTAACAGGGCTCTGACTCCTTATTCATTCAAATTTTGCATCATCTCTGAAATTCCCCGCTACAGATAACACCCTGATTTCTGTGGTGGGGGTTGTCCCTACACCACAGGTTCCCTGTCCCCCTCGGATACCTCCCTGTGTCTTGGGGAAGAAAGGAGATGCCCCGGATCCCCAAAGTGTCACGTCTGAAGAGCACAGCAAACAGTGATAGTCTGAGCTACATTTCGCCCTGCCAGCACAGCCAGAGATGCCCCCCTCACATTGCTCACACACCCCTGGCAAAGAGTTTATCATCGGTGCCTTCACATGCTTCCTGCATCCACAAGGAACACAGGGGCTGTAGAGCTGCACCCTACCCTACACCACATAGTGCTTAAACGTGGACCAACCCGATGGAGAAAGATGGACCCAGGCCCCATGGCCCTTATTCTTGGCCAGTAGATAATGAAGGATCAGAGACAACTGGCCCACCAAAGTACACCGGTTTCTGTAGCTGGTGGCAGACAAGGCGGCCATGTGTGGCTATCTGTGTTGCAGCTGGGAAGTCAAACATGCAGCCATTTGCTGCTGGCTCAACTGGAGGATGCCTTGGGCAGAAGTTTAGAGCGAGGCTGAGTCTTTCTAAACTTCTAATGAGGCTCAGTTTCTCTGCCATGGTACTCTAAATGCTCCGCATGCTTCATTGCTCAATCCCAGCCCTACCACTACACCTTAGACCTGGGACTGGATGGAAACCAGTGACCCAGAGGGGGAGATAGGTGGCAGAGCCTGTTCCCCTCTGCGCTGTGCAGCCTGAGGCTCCCTGAAAGCACAGAGTGGGACATGAAGGGAAAAAAGAGTAATTAAATGTTAAATTTTTCAATCCTTTAAGCCATCCAGTGCTTGCAACCTCACACTGGCCTGGCAACAGCAGCCAGAGATGAGGTTTCCCAGCCTCCTGTGAGACTCAGCAAGTAAATGCCCGCAGGCAGCACCATCCTTCCCTCTCCCGTGTCCTCATCTTTAACTGTACTTGGCTGTAACTTTGTCCTCACCAGCCAATTCCCCACAGCTGGAAGCAGTGATAAGTGGAGCCATAAGCCAGGGGTTGGACACAACTTGTTCTAAGGCTCTCGCTGTGCTCTCAGCCTTTGGCCCTAGCTTTCCCCTTACCCCAGCTGTGACTTTTACCCAACCCTTGCTTGAATTTAGAAGAGGAGCCCTATGAAACTCCTCTCCATTCTCTGAAGGGAGAAGGAGGATGGCATCTCTGTTAGCTGGTCACCCACTCCCAGCCCAGCCTGATCACTCCATGGTCCTACTATTAGCAGAAAGAGGTGCTGCCCTGGAGCCACCAGAAATCAGGCTGGGAGGTCATGGAGAAAAGGACTGAACTGAAGGGTCCCTGGTGAGCAAAAAGAGAGAGAAATGAGGAGGGCAGGGGCAGAAACGCAGTCCCTTGGGGGAACAAAGCCAGGCACTGTGGATCTGCATGCACAAGGCTGACTGGCAGGGACCAGACTGGGTGAGAAAGGCCAGTGCTAACAAGACCCCTTAGCTCAGGAAGGGAGGAGGTCACACACCAACACCTGGAAGGCGTTTTTCTTTCTCGACAGGCCAATACAGAAAAGGTGTGCCTCGGAGGAGGAAAGTCAGACATGGCCCACTCCACACACACAGACCAGTTACTCCTCCTGCACTCACCTTGGAGCCAGAACTGACTGGGGTGGCCATCCCACTCTGGTGACTGCTGGCACCTAACAAGAGGGGAGGTGGGTTCGGCAAACTGGGCTGGGCAGCAGCAGGCCAGTAATTGATAGAGGAAGCAGTGCTGGGACGGTCCAGGATGTCATCCATACTATGACTGCTTCGCAGTGGGAAGGACCTGAGCAAGAGGAGAAGACAGTGTGGGGTGAGAGTGAAAGAGCAAGAAACAGGGAGCAGCAGAGGTGCCACCCATAACATGTATCTGCGGGATGTCTCTGGACAACATACACAGGGCTTGGACTGGCCCAGCCACAAGTGCCTTTGAGAAGATACTGCACATGTCAGGGGAGCCATCTAGGGTAAGCCTGTGAGATCTCGGGGCACAGCAAGGCTCTCAGCAGATGCTCCAGCATGAGGAGCGCTGCAGCTCTCCATGGGGCACACGCTGAACAGGTACCCCACTGGTGTTAGTGACCTACCAGGAGCCACTCCAGCTCCTGCCTGGCCAGTTGGCCTCCTGTTACCTGGTGGCTGGCTCCTCCATCTCCCTCGCATCCTCCAGAGGCTTGACATAAGCTTCGGGGAACCAGCCGCACCTAGGGCACAGGAAGAGAGACGAATGAGGTCCAGCCAACCATGGTTTGTGGTTCTTCAGATCCAGCTGCCCAGCACTCCTGATCTATACCCATCCCATGCATCAGCCAAGCCACTGCTGCTGCTACCACATGTGACAGGGTTTCTTGCACATCTTTCACCCTTAGGTGGGGCACCGGGTTATTGCAAGACAGTCCTTGAGCTTGGAGCAGGCCTCGCTGATCTCAGAGGCTGTGCAAAATGCCTGCGACCGGGAGCAACGCCAGTGCAATCCAGGAAGAAACACTCGGACTGAGCATGGTCGCCAAGGCCAGCACACAAGGCAGCTGTGGAAATCCCTTCTCCGGGCAAAGCAGCTCCACCCCAGCAACCCCCCAGGAAGCAAGGCACTGCGTTTGCTCATCTCATATCTCAGTGTGAGCTTCCCTGCAGAGCACGGTGCAGGGTTGCCGCATGGAACAGGGCAGCCTTTGCACACACACACACGTGTGGGCTGGCAGTGCCACAGGGAGTAATTCAGTAAGCGCTGGGTGCAGCAGTTTCCATGTCTTGCCTGTGCTGGAGGGCACAGCGGCAGTTGCGGCGTGAGCTGAGAAATGCCAGGCCTCTTGGGTAACTCCAGCAGTTCACAGCCCTGAGCTGGGTCCCATGGCAGGAGTCAGTCAGTTGTGCAAGCCGGGAGGGGGTCGCTGCATCCCTGGCTCTTCTACCCAAAGCCCCTGGAGCTTTCTCATGCATGCTTACCCTGCCCCACCGCATCTCCTCAGCTTGGAGAGCCCCTGTGCTATGGTCAGCCCATGACTGAGGACATGGCAATGTCCCACCCAGATGGTGGGTGACACTCGGTGCCCAAGGCCATGCCAGGAGGGGAGGGGGGAGATAATTTCAGGCTTAAGCCTCCCAGCTCCAGACCCAACAAGCCTGCATCAGCCTGCCAGGCCGATTTACAGCGCCGAAGTCACGTACGTGGATGAGCCCTCCAGCTTGCCATACAGCCAGCCATTCTGTGCGTCCGGCATCAGCACTGTAATGACATCCCCGGGGTCAAACCGCAGCAGGGTCCGGTTGGCGCCCGTCGTGTGGGGCACGATAGCCTGCACTCTCGCCATGCCGCTCCGCCTCCTGCCTTCGCTGCCACCGCTGGCCTCGCCAAAGGAACCAGAACGGGAGATACGGCCGGCAGGGAGCAAACCTGCAGGGAGGCATCAGAGGGGTCTGGCTGGAGTCCAGCGTCCTGCTGCAAGACGCACGCTGCCTTGAAGGGACCAGCACTCCCCCAGTCAAGTAATTATCCTAGAGGAGTAGATGGCCTTTGTCTGCAGGCAAAGAGCAGGGCATAGCATGGGAAGGGGTAAAACATTCATCTTGCAGGAGAAAATTAACTCAAGCTGAAACCACTTGCTTTGCACTATGTCCTCTTTGGCCAGATGTCTAGGGCACAGGCACTGCCTGCTAAATAACTGACTGATGTCCCTCTTCCCAACCCTGCTAGAGCTGCTAAGAATTTGGGTCATTTTCCTCTCCCCCTGCCCCTTCCTTTTTTTTTTAAACACTTCAAGCTGAAATTTTTCAGGAAGGAAAAGCAGGTGAGACATGAGGCAATTGGCTGGGTTTTGTAGGGCAGGGTAATATTTAATCTGATAGCGCAAGGGAAGGTGCGTTACCAAAATGGGAACTCCAGTAAGAACCAGCCCTTGTGGTTCAAGGAGCCTTGAAAATTGCACACCTGTGGGTCCCCCCCACTACACAGCCAGCCAGAAAACCTGGCCTTGTCCTGGATGGACCCTGCTCTGAAGGTTGTGCTCACCCCCTGTTTCATTCAGCCTTGCCCTCCCCAGCCCCCATATGCACTGTCCTCTCACCACGCCCAGGAATGTGGCTGAGGACCGCTGGTCAGATAGTATGGTGGTCCCTCCCCAAACCCAACCCTGTTCCCAGAGAGGCCCAACCGCTGTGTCTCCCCCACAGCATTGCTCTCGGACATGGGTCATACTGGCTGATGGTGTCCTCCGCAGCGGCTGCCTGGGGGGCTCTGGTTGAGGAGACAGTCTCATTTCGGGAGACTCCAGAGAGAAGACGCTGGCTCTGCTCCCAGTCATGGAAGAAGCAAAGTCCCCAGGGAGTCTCTGGGACTGTTGGAAGGAAAGGAGGCTGAGTCCACAAGGAAATGCTCTGAGAGATACCCAGTCCCCCTCAGAAAGCCAAACCCAGCACGTTCCCCCATTGCAGCCCATATACACGCTTCCCTTCATCTTGGCCAGGAAAGGCCACAGAAGCTGGACAAGGCAGCAAGTGCCACAGTCGGCCAAGTACTGGCCTTGCTTGGCAGCCTGCAAGGGGCAGCTGCAGCCCCACCACCGCCAAGGCAGAGGCTGTCTGTGGGCTGCTCACCATCTCGAGGTGGGTGGGGGTCAGCCGGCCCGGTGGATACCCCTGGCCGTGGGAGGCTGCAAGAAGCCCCTGAGAGTGGCTGTTTGAGGGGTTGCGGCTGGCCTCCAGCTGCTCCTTCCACTGCGGCGCCTTGGTCTGGATCATGCTCCGGGCCTGGGGCGAGAGAGAAGAAAAGGGGGTGACGGACAGGGCAGAACAGCTACAGAGGGAGCCGTGCATTAGACTAGGTCCCCTCACAATTATGTTTGTGGGAACGGCTAACCAGAGCCCCGCGAGGAGTGAATTTCTAGGATGGCACCCTCCAGCAGAGACCCAATGACCCTGCCATGAACACCTACATTGCCCTTCCCTCTCCCATTGCTCACACACCCAGCTAGCCCCATGTCAGCACCGTCCCCACCCCTGGCCGTGATCTCCCAGCCTAGTACAGTCAGCCTGGACTCCACAGCAAGAAATGAAATAGAGTTTCCCACCCAGTCCATGCACAGATGCTGCCTTCATCCAAGGGGTGGCTCAAGCCCTGGCTCCCTCCTGCCTGCATGCCCTGTCTCCAGCCATGCTGCCTGCTCCCCCAGCTCTGCTCCCTGGCATGCCAGGGCCGTACCCTGCTGTAAAACTGGAGGAGAGTGTTGTAGAGCATCTGGTGCTTTTCAGCCAGGAAGCGGTAGCGGCGTTTCTCCTCCAGCTCAGCCTCCCTCTGACTCTCAGAGACGAACGCCTGCATCTCTGAGCGCAGTCGCATCACATTCTCCTGGGCCGCAGGGGAAAGAGGGAGGAAGGGATCAGTGTAAATCCAGCAGAGTGGCTCACACATGGCAGGGGAAAGGGTGAAATGGGTCATCATGTCTACCAGCTTCCCAGTCCACTAGCAGTGCTGGAACAGCACACACCAAGTCCTTGCTCACTGAGGCTAAATGAGGCAAGGGCTTGGCAGGAGTGAGCACCACAGGTCAACAGCACCCTGTAGAAAAGGAGTTTCCTCCTTTCCAGATAAGCCTGCTGCCTTTTGGATGTTGGGGACAACGCCATGGCTTTTAAGAAAGGACAAGGGTGCTCAGAAATCAGTCCTGGCTCCAAATAAATCATCCAGTTCTTTTTTTCAACACCTCTTCCTCCAGTCGCTGCTCACCTTCATCTCCCGGACATTTTTATCGCGGGCCCTCTCCATTCTCCACAGTTCTGTCATGCACTTATCCAGGTTGGTGGCTCTGCGCTGGTACTCCAGCTCATACTGCTTCTGGCTCTCCTGCCAGGGAGAAACCAGGCTGGGTGAGGAACCAGAGACCCAGCCACACTGTGATAGAGAAGGGGTCCTGCTCTGATGGGTGGTTGAGGATCTGAGTCCCCCTGAAATCAGGCTTGACCTGGTCTTCTTATAAAAAGTCTTTTTTTTACCTTTCTCTTCATTTTGAAAGGCCTCAGAGTGCTAATGAGCCTTGGGATCATAGGAGCAAAAACTGGCACCCAGCTTCCCCAGCACTGGGAGCAAGCCCCCAGGCCTCTGTCTCCCCCCATGACACTTCCCACTGGCACAGCCAGCTGGGCCACAATAGCACAGGACCCACACCCATGCACAGGCTGTGGTTCAGCGAAGCTGGGAACTCTGCTTTTGGGATGCCAAGTTCCTCAGCCCCATTGAAGCATTTAGCAAGTCCCACTGCACAAAGGAGAACAGTTGCCTGCCCTCTTTATCATCAGCCAAACTGGGGGGGGGGTTGGCCCATGAGGAGAGAGGAAGGCCTCCTAATGCCTACTGAGGAAAGTCAAGGAAACACCTCAAGTGCGCAAATGAAAGCCCTTGGGTAGAGGGGAGAGGGAAACGAGGAGGGCTGAGGAGGAGAATGGAGCTCATCACTCACACTGATGAACTGCACATCCATTTTGCTGTTCTTCTCCACGTGCTGCAGCAGGTCCACGTGGAAGGTCTGAGCCTGGAAGAGGCAGAGGAGCTATCACCCTCATGACTTCACCATATGGGGTGAGGGGGCAGCTCTCAAAACCCACAAAGCTAGCAACTCCTCTGCTACCTGGACCCCATAGAGAAGCCAGAAATGGGCACATTAGGGCTACCATGGAGCAGCCCTGCAGCCTGGGGGTCAGCACACACACCACCCCAACTGTTAACCCCCAAGCTTTGACACGGGCACAGACAGCAGTGTCTGGAAGGGTTAGCATCCCCTCTGCT